CAGTCCCCGCATGAAATAGGCAATTCCAGAGGGAATGCAAAGACGTTACACGATGGCATGAAATGATACAGTTAATGACGTCACTACTATGTCTGGAGTTAGGTGACATCTGCCTAACAATCAAATATACTTAGTGTAGATCTACATCATCACAATTTGTCTTAAGTAACTAATTCAGCAGGTATACAGTCATTGTCACACACACCTACTCACCCACATGGCACCCTCCCAAAGGATCACAGGGCACTGAGAACTTGTTACAAGTTTATTTGTAATACCAGTGTGCTGGTTTATGGATACGTCCAAATACAGAATTGGATTACACGCCTTTGTACTTAGGAAGGAAAAGTAACATTAACTATGACATTATGTAAAAAGTGATATCTACATCTGTGGGTAATTATAACAAGTCTGAGGTATACTTAAGAGATTAAAATCATTCTGTTCTCGATTTCATTACAAATCAATTTTCTGTCAACATGATACTGAAAATTACCTGAAAGTGAAGAATTAAAAAGTTGTTACGGACCGAAAGGCAGGTGCAACAATTAAGAATATATAAAAGTATTACGGTATATTTAGACTATTTCAGAGATCTTAATGCGCTTCTCCTTTTATGACATTTTGCTATGGAGGCCTCTGACTGATTTTCAGTTTAAAATGAGTTGGTGATAAGGATGACGTGTCTTGTGACCATGTCTAGATTATAACGTTTCAGTGTGATGGCACTGTAAAATGACATTTGGTTGCCTCCATCTTCTCCGAACAGTGTTTACGTATGACATCAGCTCCGTTCGCAGATCCTCTAAATGATGACGAAAACTTTTCTGATGGTATGGTTTTGAATTATACTGACAATATCGTAGACTTAATGATGCTGATTGTTAATGAGTTGTATGACTATATATAAAATATATGCTATGCCCCAATTGAATGTGACAAAATGGAAACGTCTTATATCATTCTTATCATAAATACAATCAAGTTTGAAATAAAACACCGACGTAAGACACGTATTGCTTATTATAAAGTAAAGTCTCGATATAACGCACATGGTTAACGTGCTGTTAAATAACAACACGGTGTAGCTTGTTTTTTATACAATAGAGCTTGGGTTGGCAATTAAAATGTTTTATTTTTGTAGTTGCATGTTTTTGCATAGAAATTACATTTGATAAGTCAATTTGCATAATATTATATGATTATTGGAAACACGACACATCTTTGAGAACTTAACGTTAAACAGTTTTTTATTACTTGACATTTACAATTATATAGATATAACGATGGTTACCATGATGTCGTCGGGGATTTCATTATTTCTACACTTGCATTGTATAGTCTCTATATGCAATTTACCAGTCACAATTTATTTCTTTATCGATATTTATGTATGGAGATGAGGTTTGCGCATGATCAGACGGTCGTGTCATTATATATGTAAGAGACATAATGTAAGATATCTGGATTTAATGTTGCATAGTAGATATTCTTGACATGGCGTCGTCAATGATGCCCGCGTGGCGCGCCACCTACCGCTTCCGGTATAATACAAACTCGCTGTTCTAGCGATTTGTGTAATGAAAAAAATTGGTTATCAAATGCTAAAATAAGGGTTATTATTTCTATATATAAAAGTGTACAAGATATAGATAGGACTGAAAACCTAGATTCTACTATATGCATTTACACCGTACTTCCAAGTTTTACATACACTACTGGTGGCTGCGTATTGTACGATTTGTTTAACTGAACATTATATCGTTTTAATTGAAGCATTTGACTGTTATATTTACTTTTACAATAACTTAAATATGATTTTAAAAATATCACCACCATGTTATCAAACAGTAGTGATTTGTGAGAGCATTAAGGATTGGTTACGCCATAAGTTATACGTGGTAATCAAGAGTTATTTTTAGTAAAGTTGAAACGTATATCTCTTTAACTCAATTATCTATCTACATTGAACTTTCAGAAGCACTAGGGGTCTGTTTTGGATGTTTTTGATTTATTTCCTGGGACTCTGAAGTAAACAAGTCGTCGAGGTAGGGGGAGAAAGGGACGAGGTATGTTTGGGGATAGTGAGAGCCAGGGGTGAAGGGAGGATAAAATAGCAGGCCATGTGGGTCCCCGGGCTGCCCCGGCCCACACAAGTCAATCCCTGCGTACACGTGTGTGTAAGGTCAGAGGTCAGCGGATTATTGCCGGCTGGGGACGGACAGACCCCTATCGAGTTTGTGTACGGGGAGGAGGGGACCAGGCACACTACATTCCCTTGTGTTGTTACGCTATGCCGTACAAATTGTGGGAATCTGATACCCAGATTAGGGGTGAAGCGATAACTGTTATGAACAATCTGGTAACACAACAAGTAATGGGTTAGGGGTTCCGTCCCCGTCCACGACAAAACAATGCAATACTTCCGTACCATACCACTACTGTATCAGATATCCTCTTTCGTTCGCCAAATGTCGTGGGTGTTCGCTACATATTTATTAAACTGTAGTACTAACATTGAGTAATATATTTCATTTCAAAATCACAGTTGGTTGCGGTCCAACATGTTGGGATTGGTTCTGACAGTGCCATGTTTGTACTATGTGTAGAGGTTGCTGTCAGATCGAAAGATTAAAATGTCTCAATAAATCTTTAATTTTGAGATTCTTTCGTTTGTACATGAAGTAAGTATGTACATAACATTGCTAGAATATATATATATATGTTTATCTGTTACTGTAAGTATACTAACATTATACTGGCTTTAGTTTCAATTGGATACAAAAAAACGTGCCGAGACATTCTGACGGAAATTATAAGAATAATCAGAGGTACATATAGAACAAAAGATGAGCTAATTAAAAAAGAAATGATAAAATTTTATTCTAATCCCATAGTTGATTTAACAGTCTTATTACAGTAAAATGAATCTTTACGGAGACAATTGCTAACTAGCATGTTCCTTCCGCTGATACTTTGTATCTATATTGTCTATTATGTAATCGTGTATAAATGTTGTGAATATTTTGTATCACATGTTCCATTACATTTGTACTCTTTATGTAGGAGGCAAAATATAGGATAATTATACAGAGAACTGCTTGATAGGAAACGTTTTGATAATAAACTTATATGATAATAATTTTTGATACAACATTCAACTATATCATTACTCATAAAGATTTACTAATCAATAACTTCTTATTGTAAAAGTCGACATTAAGGAATGTTCTAACGGAAAGAGTGTTCTCCATGTTGTATGTCCGAAGGAAAAGACTTCCAATATGATATATAACAGAAAGAAAGAAAGAAAGAAAGAAAGAAAGAAAAAGTACGAAAGAAAGAATTCTTTTCAAGGCTTATGCACAAAGGAAAAGTGACGGAACTTTCCACCTTAATAATATAAAGTTCTTTGATTTTTGTTTTACATTAAAACACGTAATCTAGACAATTAAATGTACATCAGTATCAGCGTAGTTCCGGTCCATGTGTTTCTCAGCCATTATCGGCTGTATACATGTATAAACTACCACAAGTCTACACCTAGGTGAGGATATGTATATCTTATATATGTCATGGCGCGAGAATCACCAACGCGTGTTGGCATATTGATGGAGATAAGACTGTACGTCTCCTGTATTTACTGTTATTAAATGTCGCTTCAAATCTTATTAGATTTATCTGGTGATAGACTGTAGATGATCACTAATACAATGCCATATATATTGTCTGTAGTAGTGTATTATGATTGACGTCGCTGGACAACAGACATGATGAATGGCTATAAAATATAACAGATAGGAATATATTTCATATCTGAAAAAACTGAAGTTTATTTATAATATACATTGTCTTGTTATTCGTCTAAATGTCTATTATTCTATTTAGTTAGTTAATAGATATTATTTCTCTTTAATACAGTTTATTCGAATGTTTTCGTTATATTGCACAAATGGTCTAAAGTAACGAAAAAGAGAACTTTAAAATATAATATTTACAGTTACATCATGCCCGAGGGTTGAGCACCAGTAGTACCAGTTATCGATGTTAATTGTGATTTATCAATAGTTTGTCATGGCATACAACGATTCTTCGGTGATATCACTAGGCAAATGTTAAAAAAATAAAAGAAAATAACGGGGAAAAAAGACCAAAATAAAGTTTTAAAATATTAAGTTTTTATTTCAATCAATATACATTTATTCACAGATTCATTCTTCACAAGCAATACGGTTAGAGAGACAAAATGGTTTTGAAATCGAAAAACAAATATCAGTTAAATCGATGTAAACATTTTCAAACATTTCATTTGTGTTTTTTTTTATTGTATGTTTCCCCCCAAATAGACACAATATGTTATTTCTAATCATCACCTGTCCTACAGGTAGTTTTTACAAGTACATTTCGTCTTTTGGGAAATTTAAAAAAGAGGTTCGCAAGCTTTTAAAGAATATTGAATAAATCATGTTAAATAGAACCTGAGTACATATTTCAAGCCATATCGAAGATAAACCAGCAGAAATTGAATTATTTTGTGAGATGAAATTATATATCTGTATAAATCGCTCTTAAAAGTTTTGATGGACAACTTTCATCTTACAAAGTTGTGAATTTGTAAGCATGTATGCTGACAAGTAACATGCGTTTCTGGCTGATGTGATCAAATTTATAGAATAAAACACATATTGGTGTAATTTCCTGCCTTTTCTACTCCCTATGTCTAATATTGAGGCGAGGAAAAATAATACACCAAAACACAGATCCTAAACGTCCACTGGACCAAGATCGATTATGCGCATTACGATTCCGGAAGCATTTCCGCATTATTTGTCGTTGTAAATTATAGAAATAGAAACTTCCTGAGTAGTTGATGAAGGGTATGATTCCTCCATGGACGGATACGAAAAGAATTGGCACTTTTGTCAAGGTTTACAGAGTATTTCTTCAAAAATCCATATAAAAATCTATGAATATGTCATCTATTCATGTAACATCCGGTCTCAACTTTGCAGGTACATCGGTGATACAGTTGGCTTCATACTGTAGTAGTTCATATTATAGTTCTGACCTATACTAGGTCCATTTTCCGCCTGTATGGGTTGACCCATACCCTGGGGGACGCTGCCCCGGAAACCAAGAATGTCATTGACGGAATGTGAAGATGCTGCCCAGGCTCGCATCATACAAGGAGTTACACAGTTGCTTGAGGCCTGAGGTGGCCGGGTTGCCCCAAGGGGCGCCAATGTGTGGTGCTGTGGGGCCATTTGAGCAGTTGGAACAGCCGGCATGGAGGGCGGTGGACACGAGTAAGGATAAAACTGATTATAGATAGGTGTTGGTGCAGCAGTGCATGGCACAACTTGGCTCTTACTTTCGTACGTGGGGCTGGGATTCTGTGGGGTAGGGCCACCGCCAATCTTGTTCCTGAGAATACGACTAATCGAACTTACTGAAGGTACATTATATTTGTCACATACACCATCCGCCAGTAATTTGTCTCGAATTTCCCAGGCGAATATTCCTGGATCTCTTTCCTTATATACTTTAATATGTTTCACGACATTTGGGGTAGTGACCCGGGGCTTGCTACCACCAATGGCCCCTGGTAAAATGGACCCCGTCTCGTTATATCGAGCTAGTATCTTACTGACACATCCATGCGACACCCTGAGTTGTCGACTGATGTCACAAGGTCTCACTCCGAGCTGAGCCAGTTCTACAATCCTCAGACGAATGGCGTTAGGAAGGGGACGTCCATTGACGAACACGCCTCCTAGCTGGTTTACTTCGCCGAAAGTCGATTGCTCTGAAATGAAAAAATAAAGTATTTATAGAAATATATAAGCAACGAATACATAATTGTGTTCAAGGGGGATATATGATATGTGGCATTACATTATATCTTAAACTTATCTTAAAGCATTAATTTAGCACATCATTAGTGTTTCTGGGTACAAGATTCTTCCTTGCACTAAGTCAGACCACGGTATGAAGGAAGAAGTCACATATTTTCAGTACACCATAGATATGTATGTGCAGTTTTATAGTCAAATTAACAAAGTGCTTGCATACAAGTGTAACCCTATGCTTAGGTCAATGTCTGGTATCACTTACATAAGAAGGATGCTGATTTATTTATCAATAATGTTACGATGTTCAAGGATTTTCATTGAGATGTAGAATAACAATCTTGATTGACAAAATGTAGTTAAAAGAGAATTAAATATAGTGATTTTATTATAGTTTAAAATATCCTTATTGATTTTTTTATATAAAATATTTTGAACATAAGATTGATCCATAGTTGGTTATGTATTTACATCTAGTTAACATATAAATGGTTATTTTTCATAAATTTCTTAGATAGGTTGTCTACTCGGAAGTAACGTTATTCGCATCTTGTATCTTTTTCTAAGTTGTACAATAGCATGTCTAGTGTTGCGGTAGTTATTTAAGCTAAGTCAACAGCTCCGTTAAATACTACTGGTAAATCAGCATTTATTTCACTTGTTAAAAAATACATAAAAAGTTGTTGTTGATATGTTTTACTGTGGGGTAATTTTGTACCTTATTATAATCATACATTATTTTTGCAACTACTGTATTTCACAAGAATTAAAACTTTTTATCAGCAATGATTATACCAATTAGAACAGAACCATTTAAGATCTGCTTTAGATAAGATTCAAATCTGTTACTTGTACATTCATCTGGGTTTTTCCCACGGAATTGTTTGTTTCAAATTGAAAAAAAAAATATATAAACTAATCATCCTATTTATTAGAAACAAATGATTTTTATTGCTTAAACTATCCTTAACATAGTCCACCAAAACTGATAATAAGAAAAATAATAAACATATTCCCAATTATGACTTTAAAGTCCTTCTCGATATGAATATACCTTCTTTAATTAAACTGTTATTGTCGTTGGAGTATTTGTATAATAAAATATCCCATAGATAACTAGGAGCCATTTGACATCTTTCTTAGTCTATTGACATTAGATGGTTTATAGAATATAGTCTTGGTACAATAAGCCTGGATTCAATATCACGCGTTATGTCATATGCATGTTGTCCTCTCAATCATTATCAAAATTATACCGCCGTGACATTTCTGTAATATTTACATCAGTATTTTATCACGAAACGTGTAAATATGGTCACAATCTGTCTTCCTTTCATCTCCGTTACGTGTTTTTATCCTAACATTTACCTTGTATTTATACTATCATTGTTACCTTTCTAGTAATTTTGATATAATGCTATTTTTGAAATCTATTACGAACCTAACATTACCTTAAATACTTTGCTCATCTTTTCGTTTGATTGCTTCGTTGTCAGAGTTAAGTGATATAAATTTAGTTACATAAATATTGTAACACGGGTTATTCATCATTTGTTAATATTTCTTGCATTACAATTGAAAACCTAAATCATTTGTACAATTATTTTAGTTTGTTTGAACTGTACTCTAGTAATTAATTTTTTACACTTTGGAAACATTTTATATCAGTTAGACGAGAAGCAGTGGATGAATTATGCATATTTAGATAATTTTTAGTACATTCATTATACATAGGTATACACAAATATGTGTTTAATATGTATTTAAATTGGTTTTATAAACTAGTACAATAATTATTAATCATATGTAAAGTTACTCTAAACATATGTATAATATTGATTGAATAATATATCACAATAAACGGATTGGATACAAATATCATTTTGAAAGTTAGGTTGGTTAGCTATATCATAAAAAGATATTATAAAAGTTTTTATAATCATATCCACTCGTATTTAGTACTGTCTTGAACAGAGATTTCTCCCCTTTCTTCTCATAAAATAATATACATGATAATCTTAATATAAGCACCATTATAATTAAGCTCTGCTATCTGCAGAAATTTTCGAATTAATTTCACACCATTAGTGGAACAGAAAGGAAGTTAATTGTTATGAATCTAATTCTACGTTATTGATTGTTTTTTGTTTTACACACTAAAGTAAAGGTTTTAAAATTTAGAAACTTTTACATATTTCAATATATTTCTGTTTACTTTGTGATCATTTATTATTTATATCATGTTTACTACACGAAGAAAGTTAGACTACGATAGAGTTTATGGTTTTGCTGAACATATATAACCATTCTTATACATAGAGAGTATTTTCTTTGTATCAAGTTGTTGATAAAATGGCATAATTAATTATGTTTTACATAAAATCATTTACATTGATTATTATTTTAACATTTTGAAATATACAAAAAATGGACACTCTCCTAAATGTCATATGATGAATTATATTGAGATTTTGCATATGTTTTCCTAACAATACTGTTCAGAAAACAGATACAAGGAAATATGAGGAAGTACTGTTGGCAGGTGACTGATAATACAGATGGAGATAAAGCAGACATTTGTTTGATGTTGAAGAAAACTGATTATTCCTAGTAAATCATTTATTTGAATTATTTGTGAAACCTGTGGATGGGTTGCCATTTTGTCGACGAGACTACAGTCCCACTGTCTGGTAGAACTCACGTACACTGGGGGACATAAAACTTAGATATGCTGGCAAGGAACTGTATTCTATACATGGGGAAAAGGGTTCTATATGGAGGGGCAAAATCACAACAAAGAAGTTGACATTTGTGGCAGAATGCCACTCAGAACTGGTAGTGACTTTCAGAAAGATGTACCCGTGTGCAGCATACATGGTAGAGTAGATAATCATCAGCTACATAGAGAACAGCCTATTGAAGCGTGGTTAGGATAGAGTATGGAAGAAAAAAAACGATAGCTATAAAAACTTCATACTTAAAGGCCAGATTTAACATTTGTGAGTTTTTAAATAATCCTTATTGGGCATGTACATCTAAAACGACGAACTATTCATCAATCTAGCGAAAATATGTCTGGTTTAGAAAATGTGCACAAGCTAATTCGTGAGTGCAGCACAGTGATGTAGCCCGTGTGTAACAGTGTGACCTAGGCGACATTGCCTTCCGTCTGACAGCGATACAGCAACACTCATGCACCATGGTCAAATTACCCCATTATCTAACTACTTGATGCACCCAAGGTTTCACATATGTTGGCCCTACCATCCCTTTATCTTCTTGCATCATTCACATAACTTTTTTTATTTCCTTCTCCCTTCCTAGCAATTATGGATTTGTTTAATCTGCCGGGCAGTTTCTGTTCTCCCTATTTTGTGGGATTAAAAATTCTTTTAATCTAGAGAAAGGTTCTGGCATTGATAAAACTCAATGGAATGTTCACCGTGTTCTTATCTAGCTCAGTCTGATATATTTAGTTTCATTTCAATCTACTGACGTTTGCTGGTCGTTTCAGTAGCTCTTCAAAATATATATCATTTACGAGTTATCCATTTTGTTCTGAAAATCTCACCTTCTTTCTTTAGATTTATCGATTTTCTGAAATTTGATTTACCTACTTCAAGGCCGTTGAAACGTAAATAAATGACACGTTTTTGTGCTGTAATTATTAAATGTCTTTAAAAAAATGTTTTTATTACTTTTACAGTTTGTATCCTAAAAACATTGACCATCCTTGGTAAATGTTGATCGAAAACGTGAATTTATTTAACATATTTGTTTAAACAACTCTTTATCATCTATAAAATAAGGTATTTTCTTTAATATTGATTTTTTTTTCTGAAATATAAACACATTAATATATATCTTTTGAGCATGTGATTTCATGATTGTAAAATAATTAAGATAATAAATTAAAACATATGCGAGTAATTTCAAATCAAGTAAAAGAAACAAGAAATTGTTTTGAATCAGTTATTTAACTTAACATTTTTATTGAAAACATATATATTTCTTTTTCAAACGGTTTACAAATATAACTTAACAATGAATATTTAATACAGTAAGTGAAAATGTCAGTAAACACAAGATTTATAATACAAAATTGTTTTTTCTAATTTGGAGATTTGGGCCAATGATGAAACTACACAAAAATATTACTTGACAAACAATAATGCTTTAAGAAATAATTGTTATTTTAGTAGTGACGTTACTGGTATAATGAGTACACTTGTACTTCTTTAAATTAAAAAAAATGTCTTTGTATGTTAGCATTTACTGTGCATATAGATATCTTTCTTCGCTTTTATTCAATTTAGCATACATTCGATTTTACAGAAAAATGCTAAGATTTGAAAAAAAAAAAACCCAAATACAAATAATACTAATATTAGTTAAACTAATATTAATAACTGGAATTCCAGCTCTAGAAATATATCCTCGTAATTTATGTAAAATATTTACTTAGCTACCGTTACAAAGTTAGGTTAACAAAACACACCAGTTATTGTTTTGTTTTGATATCAATAACCCATGATGTCGGGTTTTTCATATTTTCTAACAAGCGTAGACGACATATTATCATGAAAAATATAATTAAGTAGTTACCTTAAAATTCGTAACCATCTTGGTCATTATGATATATTTGAAGATATCTAAATTACAGAATTATACAGGGTGCCTACGGGTGCACGTTCCTTGTGAAGTTCGTCCATATAGATAAGACCAGAGGACTTTCTCCACTGATAAACTCTGCATTTTATACACTTGTACATGTTGATGTTTATCCAATAAATTGTAATTATCTAAGCCAAGATCGTTCAGTTTATGTCTTACATTGTCACGCGATATCCAATATGTTTGATACTGGTAGAGGAGGCAAGAGTTGATATCACCTTCTCTCGGAGTCGATGTGAGAAAGTATTAATTTGCCGTCACTTCTAATTACTCGAGTGCGTTATCAGTCTAGCCGTCCCTACAGGGATACTACTGAGCTCCCAGCGGTCAGTAATTGGCCGAAGTATACCCCTTGACCACAGCTTGATCACTTGTTTCCATCAGTTCTCTCAGATACAATTTATTTTCACTTACAACTGTATGGATCTTTTATCTTCGTTTAATATCGCTTTGTAGCAGATTCATTCATGCAATTAGCATTCTTTAATCCGTATATAACTTACAAACATTTTAAACTTTAAATTGTATCACAGCATGGCACTTTGACTTTGATACCGATATTTTCGAGTTTTTGGATGTTTATGTCCAACCATTACACGTATATAATAGATATAATAAGGTACTTATATTATGTGTACGGATACTTAAATGTACAAACCCGTCGATAGTTTCGTTTCGCCATTTCCTAACAAAAGTCCTCGTTTTACTTTACAACAGCTGCAATACATCAGTACTATTTGTTACAGGAATGAAATTAAGAAGTAATTTTGTTTTGGAAAATTTATTTTCTCAGTGACATGGACTGAGCTAGGTTTGTTGATTTTCGGCTAGAGGATCCCGCTTTTAACATCTGGAAAGAGTATGACTTGTGTATCATATTTGACCGCCGATCTCCCTCCCCATCCCATATCTTAACGTTTCTAACCTAGCTTGGACACCTGTGCTGTTTGATAGTAAGCCAAAATACGGATATGTGTACATATTCCTTTTTTTAAGAAATAGGACACTTTATAATTTTTCAAGATAAGCTTATATACGACCATCGCGAACTTACCCATGCAAACGGCTTGGATTTGTAGTGTCTCCAGATTGAAATATTTGTTTCTCCAATACGAATATCTTTTTTCACCTAATGGAAAATAATTGTCCGGCAAGCCTTGTCTATCCACAGGTAACTTTTCCGTCACATACCGTAAGAGCACCTCTTGGCGTATATGTGTGTCAATGATATTTGGCTGTGACTTTTGGGTCTACTGACGATGAGCCATGGGCCTGTGGACGGGCCCCCGGCTCCGTGCCCCTCCGTTCTAGGCCTGTGATTGGAGCGCGCCTCCCCACACGTCAATCTCGTTCGGCCACGGTACCTCCCACGGATCACTGCGAGTGGTTCCGAGCTAACGAACGTGCACTCGGCCAGCTACCAAACTCATTTACGATTTCTTCCTCTCACAACTTTACAAATTCATGCCCATTTATCTTTGGTAGCAAACCCTATCTCATGGCATGACAAAATGCCCCTAAATGGCCATTGTGGCGTTTTCTGGGAATATATATAGCCCCATCATAAATAAATCAACACTGTATCAACTAGGTCTGTTATCTAAATATTTATCTCTTTTGGTTTTAGAAATAAGTTACATAACAAGAAATTCTCCGACGTCTGTACAAAATATCGTCAAGCTATTTCTAGATTTGTCAATGTAGGCCTTGGTTTTCCTTGGACAAATGGTTATCGTATTGGCGTAAAGTATATCGCGTGTATTTCACGAATGTTGACGTTGCGTCAAGCCCTTTTGGTCTCGCGTCGTAGCCCGTGTCCGTGCCACATAGAAACTGCTCAAAGACTCGGAGAGCGAGGTGTCTTGTTGTTACAACGATCCAAAGCTCGTTTGGGAGGCTGAAGCGGAACAATGCGACTCCGCAACGCTGTCATGCCAGGGCACACTCGGATTCATGTAATTTGATTGTTACGTGAGCTTCCATCACCAAGAGTAAGCGATGCCGGCGGACCGGCACGAAAACTATCCCACATCTGCGAACCGATGAGAAAGCCAGTCATATCTCCAAGCTTCTATATAAAATAGCTGGAACTTTTATTTTTTCCATTATTTTCTTGGTTTGACACTGTACAGACTGTGGAATTAGCGGAGGATTTAGGGGGATGAGGAATATGTAACTGGGGCTGCCAAGTTTGGATCGACCAGAAGTTCAGACGAGCCATTTCTCGTGTCATCTGTACAAGGTATCGATATATGATGGCCCCCATCCCACCTTCTTTGTTTTCAACGCCTTCCCACCTCGTCTTAAGCTGTTTTCAGAGTATGTGTTCGTTAGTGTAGTCTGTACTGGTCATATCCTAGCTATAATACAGACCTAATTTAATTACCTTCAGTCACAGGTTACGCTATGTATAATTTAGTAATGTTTATTGAAATATAAAACGTTATCGATATCTAATGACATGACATTGTATTGTGACAATGAAGTGACAGGCTTTTAATGTTTACATTTGTTAAATAAAGTAGTTTTGAATTTGGTTATACTTCAGTTATTTCCATTTTCCAAAAAATGAACGATATAGTTAGATTAATAATGTTACGTTGAAAATATCAGAAAATGTTTCAATATTTGTTTTTAAATTACCATAAGGATTGTAAAACTCAAGCTTCAGAGCACTGTTATGGGCTATATAGTACCAGAGAACTAAATAATGCTAAAATTAAACGTGATTTGTTTGTTTTCATAATATACTGTATTCTCACTAATTATAGCGAAACTTTTTTCGGTAATAATGGTAATCTGACGTTTAATTCTACTTGAAGCTTCAGATATTAGCAATCTAAAATACAGTATAAACAATTATATACATAATACCTCCCACAAGAAAATATCATTTCTAATTAACCTAATTCACTGTAGATACACGTAAACCTTTTAATTACAAGGATTATTATCTTTATCTTAAAATCAAATATTCTTATGTTCTTTAAGTTAAAAGAATAAATTTGCATGTTAATTGATTGACGTGTTTGTTTATATTTGGCAGGTGCCTTAACCAATTTTACCTGAAGCAGGGAGGACATTAATATGAGGGTTTGTATGCGGACCCGCGCTCAGGGGGAAATGACTGATAAAACAACACAGATAAGCTTGGAACAAACGTGGGAACGCCATTGTCCAACACTAAACAATTAACTTTAGGTAATTACCTCTTTTGGTTTGACAATAATATTGAATATAATTTGATTTATGTTTCAATCATATTGAGATTATTTTGTGTTCATTTTTTCTGTGATGTCTAATGCCGTGTAGGTATAAAGCGTCAGATTATTAAGCAATCAAATGCCAGTAGAAATCTTGTAGATGAAATACTGTTTAAAATATGCATCATATAGGAATGATAATCAAGAAATATGTACGTGTAAATATTGATTTTCTCGAATACTTGTAATTAGAAAAAATATATGTTACCAGGACATATGGGCAAATGATCCTGTAAGAGGTTGTATTGGTAAGATTCAGATACAATTCTTATGGAAATAAGTTATCGATAAATTTCTTGTAAAACCAGACCAATCTTTGAATTCAATTTCCAGTTGTGTGTATTGTTCTTCTCTAAAGCAAATTCTTTCTTATTCTCCATCATTGTTTTATCAATTAATCTTTCGAAATTTATCAGTTTGATTTAAACTTTGTTTTTACAATAGGTCAAATAATTTCAATAATTAAATAAAGCAAGGTGACAAAACAAAATAAAGAACATACAAATATTATTGTTACAGATGATTATAAATAGCTGATTTAATCATTCAGAGAGCTCAATATGACACCAATGATAATTGCATAAATTGAATCAACAGTATTTCCAACTCTGCTTCTATCATTTCGTGTATTTACATAGTATGATATATAGAAATAAAACATTTTACGTGCTATAAACTTGTTATTGTTTCATGAAAATTATAGGTAATATGTCTTTTATATTTCTACACAGAATGTAATATTATTTTCATTATATCATTTCCTATATATAACTATGTATGTGTGTTATAACATAAACCAAACATGATATAAAATAAAGCGGATGTGTTGTATGTTTAGATCAAATAAAACAAATGGAACCTTTGATGACGCTAAATATTTAAATTTCCTTGTAGTGTCGACAGACAAAGAACATTTAAAATTTATTTAACTATGTTTTAATTATGTTGGTTTTATTTAATTGTTAGTTGTGGGTATAGTAAGAAATCATATGAAATATGTAAATTGTGTAAACTTACCTATAAATAATAAAATGATATTGACAAAAAGAAAATATCTAAGTTACGATTTTGTGATTTGTTCGACACAATGCAAACAATTTCTGTACACAATGTTTTTCGTTATCATGAAGGGGAAAACATTATCTTTAAAATAGCATGAGATAAGAAAAGATACATTTACATATCAAGTATGAAATTATGATAAACGAATTATACAAATAACAAGCAATTATAGTTATACGAATTGTTATTATTTTAAAATTCACACAAGTTAAAATGTTATATGATATCGGTGCTGACTGCAACTGAATATAGGTATTTATTGAAATCGGAGTGACACATGCGTTGAAGGCTTGTCATACCGCGAGTGTTGCCGATAATTGCTATCACATAGCGCGTAAAAGAAATTTGGTATTGATAAAATATCCCAAATATTCCAACAGGCGCATAGTATGTTGTTCTTTGTTAATGTAATTTGCATGCTTTCAATATTAGATTTTACAACATTTCTTTTCTTATTTTCAATTAAATTGTGATAGAATTGGACAAGTTTTTGTAATCAAAATGGTGTTCATGCTACGATTTTACTTAATTGATTCGATTGAATAAGTTTTTGACGATTGCTTGCAAGAAAGAAAAAAAAGAAAGGATATGCAAACATAGAGTTCACTAGAGGTGTTTCCATCTTAATATAATCAACATATCAATTACCGGGTACTATGTATACTATTGTTTATAAATGTAAGGAATTCTGTGGTGTATTCCCGTTGTCTGTTTGTCTGTGTGTAATTTTATATACTTCTTTTATTACAATGTATATAAACTTTTATATGGAAAACATTTATCATTTAGCAAGAAATCTATCATATTTCCGATGACGATAAAATTTAATAAAATCAACAGTAAAAATTAAGTTGACGAAACATGCAAAACATTTATCATGTAGCAAGAAAATTATCATGCATTTGTATTTCAAATCATAATAAAGAATATATTCAATCCAAAGTAAAAAATTCAGTCGAAGAAAAATGGTTACTTAAAATACATGAAAACATAATACGTCTGTGAGTTTTACATATTTAACAGCTTGTATCCAGATGTTTATGATGTTATATAAAGTCATGCT